TAGATGCCATACTATAAATATAATGAAGCAAATAAATAAATAAATAATCACTTTGGACATATGGAAAAATTTATGTCTCATTCTGAATCTCTAGTCTATTACTCCTATGTCAAAGGTAAGAACTATAATTCATGATCAGCCTTCTAGAGTTGTACTTGGTCATTGCATTGGTCAGAGTTCTTAAGTCTTTCAAAGGTGTTTGTCTTTACAATGCTATTGTTATGTAAATTGTCCTTCTGGTTCTACTCACTTCTTTGGCATTGTTGTTGGTTAGTTGTTTTCATTTGTGTCCAACTTTTCATGACCCCATATGGTGTTGGTAGAAAGTTTCTTTATCTAATAGGTTCTTTTGTCAATGAAAAATCACAGGTCCAGTCCCTATCCCTATATTAAACTTAACATGATAGTAACAAAACCGTCATTTATCTATGTTTCCTTCTGAAATTCTTTCTCTCTTCTGTGTATTTTAAATGGTTCATTGACATTCTCTCCTTTCTTTTTCTTTTTTTTTTCATTTGGCATCATTAGCAGTACTCACAAACTCCTCCCCACCCCATCCCCAAATACAACCTGTCCCTTAATTATAGTTAACCAAAACAAACTCACACATTGGCCATGTCTGGAAATATGTGTCTCATTTGCATCTGTAGTCTATCAGGTCTCTACCACAAAGTGGGGAAGCATGCTTCATCATCAGTCTTCTGAAATTGCATTGATCAAAATTCTTGTCATTTTCATTTACATTATTGTAGTCGTTATATACATTGTTTTCCTGCTTCTGCTCACTTCATTTTGCATCAGTTCTTACAAGTCAAAAAACTAAACTTTAATACCTAAAGATAGGCACTGCATTACTTCTAAGCAAAGGCCTGATTCTAGAATTCATAGCATAGTTTCTGGGCCAGTGATCTGGTTAAAGCCTTTGCTGCAAGTAATTTTTTTTTTTTTTTTTTTTTTTGGTGAGGCAACTGGGGCTAAGTGACTTGCCCAGAGTTACACAGCTAGTGAGTGTTATGTGCCTGAGGCTGCATTTGAACTAAGGTCCTCCGGACTCTAGGGCCAGTGCTCTATTCACTGCCCCACCTAGCTGTCTCACCTGGCTGCCCCAGCTGTAAGTAATTAAAAAACAAACAAACAAACAACTGTTAAACTTGGTGTAACTTGGTTGAGGTTTTTTTTTCTCATGCATTTTCCCTTTTTTTCCCCCAGCTATACATTAATAAGCTTTCAGATTTAAAAGGTAGTAAATAGTTTCTTTCAAAACATTGATTTATTATAATCATGCAGTTTGGGAATCATGTACTCATGCTGGCTACAAATTATGTTTACCAACTTGAGAATCAAAATGCATAACATTTTATTTCAACTAATATTTGCTTAGCAGAATAAGATCTTCAAATATCCATCTTATCTTTGATCAACATTAAACAGTATTAGTGTCAATGTTTATATAACTTGGGCTAGTTGTAGGATATTCTTTGTGTTCATGTACTAACAAGGCTTAGTGCCTTCCAAGAGTGAATTGAGGACAAGTGAGATGGTATCGAAGCCACAGGGAGTGAAGGTATAGCCCTTCTGAATAAACAACATCATCTCCAAAGATTTTTTAACACATTAATATAAGGCATAGGTCACCATAAATGAGCATACAGACAGAACAAAACTAATTCTGGGAGAGAAGCTCTAGAAAGAAAAACCCCAAAGAAGATAACTGTGGGAAAGAAAAACAGACTCTGGGTTGAATTTCTGCAAAAAGTAGCACCATCTTCAAATCCATTCTGCTTGGGAGCCCCAAACACTGGCTACTAACAAAACAGGAATCTCAGAGTAGTAAGAGTAGGGTGAAATTGCAAGGTATTCATTGTGGAATCTTTATATCTGGCTAAGAACTTAACAATAGCTTTCTAATTATTGCATTTACCCAGTATACAGTAGGTATATTTTTCCTTCTAGAAGTGCCTTACAAAAGTTGAAGCATTTAAGAGCATGACATTTTGATGACATTTGTTTTAAATGTTTTTCTAATATGATTTGAGTAATTGAATTTTTGCCAACTTACTACTACTACCTCTCATCCAAAATTTTGTGAAACTTGAGTTAGTTATACTATGCAATATATACTATTTGCTTGCTTCCTGCCACCCCCCTTTAATTTTTAATAGAGCCTTTAATAATGAATTGTGTCCAGAGTACTTGCAAATGGAGAATTGGTGCCAGCTTCTGACCTGACCAGTGGAGAGATGACCATCTCTGGTAGGGACTTAAACAAGAGAAGCCTGGAATCTCCCTCCACTCCTCAAAAAATCATATGCCAAATAACCAGACACCTTGGTATAAAGACAATATTTACATATGTAGTATATCTGTGACTTCTTATATATAATACATATATAAATACATATATACACTTATGAATCTCATCATTTGCTCCTTTTAATATGTCACACAAATCTAATTTTAAAACCTCTGGATACAGATCACATTTACTATATAATTAAGAACTAACCATAGCTTTTTAATTACTATAAGTAACATATACAAAAGATGTGTTTTTATTTCTGGAAGTCTCTTACAAAATTGTAGTGTTTAAGATTATGATATTTTTGTGGCATTCAAAGAATTCAATCACTCAATTACATTACAAAAATATTAAAATGATTTTAATTAAGTTGAATGAATTCTCTGCAATTTTGCCAACCACTACCAATCATCTAAAATTTTGTGAAACTTGATAGTGTGTGTGTGTGTGTGTGAAGTGAATACAAGCGAATATAAGTGAAGAAATACAAGCTGTCTGTAACTATGGAGAATTGGATTAATCTGGTTTTCCTATAATGCCATTTTCACTGTATACAACTTTTTTTGGGGGGGAGGGATAACTGTGATTCTATGATTATTTATGGAGTCTTAAAAGGACCTATTAAAATTTCATCTGAAATAACCCTCAATGGAAAGGCATGTAGTTGTATGTTTATAATTACAGAGGGTGCAAATTTGCAAAGTCTTCAATTTTTCCTCTACATATTTGTTTACTATTTTGGTAAAATGCTGCCAACTCTTTGGCTCTTTAAGGTAAACAAGTAAATCACAGAATATTAAAAACAATAAAGGCAAAGGCTATCAGTTGGAGGAAATTCAGAGAAATTTTATGGAGAAAGTCATTAATCAAAAAGTATTATCACTTGTTTGCAACGTGTTCAGTGGTTTATATGTATGGGAGATCTCCCACAATAATGAGGGCTTAGCACATGTATATGCATATAAAGAAAGTAAAATTTTATGCCCTACTTAAGTGCTTGCCATCTGAAAGTGATTATTTTTATAAAGAATAAAGGGTAGCTTAGTTGATTTTTCAATGTAACCAGAAGTTGTCATAAAGTTCAAATGCTAATATGTAATATCAATTCATTGTTTATTCACTATGGTTGGACAAAGTATTTCCTTTTTAGGAATAGGTGTACCAGTATATAGAAAGAACATATGTAATCATGCAAGAGTTATATAAAGCAAGCTTTTTCAATATTCGTGTTTAACATGTAATATTGTTCAAAAAAGCTTTTAATAGGAAATGACAAAGGATGTTTTCTCTTCTATAATTTACTATTGGATGACAGAAACTGAATTTCATGTTACAAGATAATTTTCAGAAAGGACAAGATGAGCTGAACAAGTATTTTTGTCATCAGTGCTGCACAGTTCTCGCAATTAATAACTTGGTAGTAGCAGTTTATGAAATGTTAGCATTCTTATTTTCCCAATGTCATTTTTTTCTCATTAGATTTTGGTCATACTAATGTGAGAACAGTTATTAGAAACTCATTCTTTCCACATATATTCTCTTGTAATAATATATATAATATTCACAAACAAGGAGAATGAATCTCTGAAACTTTCTCTTTCAGAAGGAGTTTAGAGCATGGGGAGAAAGACAGGGATATTTATTCTGTGTCTACCTAAGCTCAAAAAAAGAATCCATTTCAGAAGGGAGAGGTAGTAGACAGAAGGCCAAATTATCAGTCTGGCATTGTGTAAGCAATACAACTACTAGGAGTCTAATTTTCTTTTCACTTTTCAACTTTGGGCATTTGGTAGAAATATCCTAAATTATTGTTATTATTAACAACAACAACATTAATAGCTAACATTTATAGCACTTTAAGGTTTGCAAATCACTTTATCTTGTATGGTCCTAACAACAATCCTTTGAAGTAGATGCCATTATTATCCCTATTTTACAGATGAGAAAACTGAGATAGAGGTTATGTGACTTGACCAAACTCACTCACCTAGTAAATATGAGAGGCTATATTTAAACTCAGGTCTTCCTGATTCCAGCTCCAGCATTTTGATTGCTTGTGCCATTCACTAAGGGAATTTTGCAGAAATTGAATGCAGAACACCTCAAGGGTTGTTTAAGCCAATGCACTTGAAAGTTGAACTGATATTTTATCATACACATCAGTGACCCCCTTCCCTTGACTCCATGTGGTCAATAGGTGACTCTGGAGATCCCTGTATCAGTGGCATTTTGTAGATTTTACTTTCAGGATGAGATAACATAGGAAGTTGTTTCTAATCCTTTTATTAAGTTTACTTTAGATTAATGATCAAATTAGTGCAGGCAATAAGTAGTTGTGTGAAGTTATATAATGTGGCAGCTGTGTACACTAAAAGAGTACATTTTTAAGGTGGCCTTAAAAATGCTCTAAAAGACTTCAAGTGTCAAGTTAGAAATGAGTGAATTCTCAGCAAAACTTTTAATCAGAGGTCATAGATATTAATAAGGTGAGTGGGAGATATTCTCCTGATTGTACTGAATGGCTACAGAAAATTTACCAATCCATTGACTTAACAAAGATTTGTGTGTGTGTGTGTGTGTGTGTGTGTGTGTGTGTGTGTGTGTGTGT